TGCTGATTAGACACGGGCGGTGCCCTGCAGCTGTTTGGGGCTCCAGGAGTGAAGCACAACCTTTTTCACGCTTGAGGTCTACTCTTGAAATGCTAAATTGTATCAATAGTTGATGGTATCAGAGAAAAACGCATTTAAGGTGATTTTTCATCAAGGCGCTCGTGTTGTTTCTGACTCTTGTCGTGTATTTGTGCTGTCACGTGCGAGGTTACCATCTGGCACCAACGTTTAGAGGTAATTTTGGGCTGCAGTGAGAGAGACACACCTGGATTGTAACCCACCAGGGTGACCGCCAATCACAGATATGAGGAAATGTAATCAAAAACACCTGCAGGGCACCAGGTTGAGTTAAGCCAGTGTTTTTCAACCTTGGCAACGTGGATTTCAGCTCCCAGAATTCCCAGCTAGTGTGAGTTTTACACTGAGTTAAACTATTTGAAAAAGATCAAGGCTTGATTGTATCTTTCAAGTCTGTGATTTTAAGTGGGCCGTTTCAGATTACTTCTTATTAAATCCAGACATGCTTTCCTTCTTCTGAAATGTGAATCATGATTATTTTCAATGGGATTAAACATGACTGCATCCAAACCATTGCATCACCTTCTTATCTTCCCTTGTAGCCTGTTTTTGAGGCTAAATAATAGTGGGGGGGAGCCAGTTAAGCCTTCTCGAGCTCCTTAAAGAAAGCACAAATTTCTAAACATAATATGGACCCTGTTGTATTTTTGGAAGCGGCGTTCCTTTTTTCTCAAGCAAATATTTTTATTTATTTTTATTTATTAATCAAATAATCAGATAATATAAGCTGCCGAATTGGTGACCCCTTTGTAATTAGCTGGTCATTCTTAAACATTTTGAACAAATATTCCAGCCCTATTGATGTTTGCCTCCCAAAAGGTCCCATTTATGACATGAAAACAGTGATGACGAACTTTTTGCACTCAGCATGTCAAAAATTCAGAAAATGCCTAACTTGACTCTGCTGGCATGTCTCTCTCTCTCTCTCTCTCTCTCACACACACACACACACACACACGAGAAACAATTCTTCACATATTCATTTATTTAAAAAAAATACAGTCTAATCCTGTATGGTGCTATATATTATATAAAGAAATGTCAAATAGTTACAAAGATGAAATACAGGTAAAACAAATTCTGTTTCTTTGGTAGCTCAGACAGGGAGAATAGTGGTTGTCGGGTGTTGGTCAGTGCTCGTGTCACCCAAAACATCGAGGCATGTCACCTTTGACATGCGTGTCATAAGTTCGCCATCACTGCGTTAAAACCAAATGTTTGAGGTTCTCATCTGAAGCCGCTTCCATCATGTTGGTCCACAGTTTTACCCCATCTTGGTGGGGGCCCTACTAAGCTATGTGTATCCTCAGCCTGGCTTTTGACTTTTAGCTTAGCCTGCTGACTTAGGCAGCAAAAAGTGTTTTCCCACCCTCGCTGCTAAGTATGGTGAAACAGAGAAGCAAATCTGCCTTTTTAGACTGATGTTTGGAAACTGGTTCCTGGGGCCAAGGAATTTGAAATCTAATTGCCAGCTTTGATTGGAGTTCCTATTTCTCGACTTGGACGTTTGAGCAGCAAGCTCCAAGTACAGTGGGGCAAAAAAGTATTTAGTCAGCCACCAATTGTGCAAGTTCTCCCACTTAAAAAGATGAGAGAGGCCTGTAATTTCCATCATAGGTATACCTCAACTATGAGAGACAAAATGAGAAAAAAAATCCACTTTGGGGCTGTTTGTCTGCTGGATTTTTTTTCTCATTTTGTCTCTCATAGTTGAGGTATACCTAGGAGGGAAATGACAGACCTCTCTCATCTTTTTAAGTGGGAGAACTTGCACAATTGGTGGCTGACTAAATACTTTTTTGCCCCACCTGGATTTTTTTTCTCATTTTGTCTCTCATAGTTGAGGTATACCTAGGAGGGAAATGACAGACCTCTCTCATCTTTTTAAGTGGGAGAACTTGCACAATTGGTGGCTGACTAAATACTTTTTTGCCCCACCTGGATTTTTTTTCTCATTTTGTCTCTCATAGTTGAGGTATACCTAGGAGGGAAATGACAGACCTCTCTCATCTTTTTAAGTGGGAGAACTTGCACAATTGGTGGCTGACTAAATACTTTTTTGCCCCACCTGGATTTTTTTTCTCATTTTGTCTCTCATAGTTGAGGTATACCTAGGAGGGAAATGACAGACCTCTCTCATCTTTTTAAGTGGGAGAACTTGCACAATTGGTGGCTGACTAAATACTTTTTTGCCCCACCTGGATTTTTTTTCTCATTTTGTCTCTCATAGTTGAGGTATACCTAGGAGGGAAATGACAGACCTCTCTCATCTTTTTAAGTGGGAGAACTTGCACAATTGGTGGCTGACTAAATACTTTTTTGCCCCACCTGGATTTTTTTTCTCATTTTGTCTCTCATAGTTGAGGTATACCTAGGAGGGAAATGACAGACCTCTCTCATCTTTTTAAGTGGGAGAACTTGCACAATTGGTGGCTGACTAAATACTTTTTTGCCCCACCTGGATTTTTTTTCTCATTTTGTCTCTCATAGTTGAGGTATACCTAGGAGGGAAATGACAGACCTCTCTCATCTTTTTAAGTGGGAGAACTTGCACAATTGGTGGCTGACTAAATACTTTTTTGCCCCACTGTAGTTGCTTCAGTAGAAATGCCTGGGAGAAGGAATGTGAGGAACTTGGTGCTTCTGAGATGAGGACACCTCACCAGGGTATGTTGGATAAGATGATTGGAAGAACATAATGTAAGAGTAATTCTGCTGGAAGAGGCTGAGGCCTCCAGCCAAGCATTGGGTTTCTCACATTGACCAACCAGATGCCTCTGGCTGCTGGCAAGTGGGAGATGGAAACAAATCCCTCTCTTGTTATTCTTTCCTTGGTAACGGATATTTGGAAGCCTGCAGCTCTCAACTTGGATTGAAAATGTCACAAATGTTTTAACCTTTTCTCATGAGGAAAGTGTTCAAGTCTTGCATCATTTTGGTTGCTCTCTGATGTACTTTTTCCAGCTGTATTTTATCCTTTTTGTAGATTTGGCAAAGAGAACTATTCTGAGTATTCCAGATTAGGTATGCACCAGAGATTTGTGGGCACATCCCACAATGTAAAAGCATTCTCTTGGCATTTTTATTATTAATCCCTCCCTAATGGTTTCTAGCATGGAATTTGCTTTTTTCACAACCACTGCATTGAGCTGATGTTTTAACTGAACTGTCCACTGTCACCCCAAGATCATTTTCCTGGCTAGTTATAGACAATTCAGACCCACAATCACTTGTTCTCACCCAAACGTGCATCACTTTACACTTCAATTAAACTGAATTTGCCATTTGGTTGACCCCCTGGAGCTCTTCACAATCACCCTTCTTCACCCTGAATAGTTTGATACCATCTACAAATTTGGCAGGAATGTCCACCATGGTCTGTGCACCCCCTGTGAACAGTCCAAAGGTAAACAACCAAATTCTTCAGGTTTTTTAAAAATAAAACAAAAGTTGACATCTACAGGATTTCCTGTGAGATTCCAAGCATACCGAACGGAGGAATGGAAATGGGTGCAGCTATTCCTGTTCTCCTTTAAATTTTCAGCTATAAAAACATGGGCTCACGCATTGCATAAATCTACAGCGCAACATTAGCAGGTTCTTTGAACCCAGCTATTGTGATTTGTAACCATCGCTTATGACAGTGTTATGTACAACCCAAGGTATTGTGATTTGTTCCAGCAAACTATGGGTCAATAATAATAATGTCTTAAATGTATGTGCCATCCGACTCCCAGCGATTCTGGACGGAATACAATGGTTAAAACACATTGAAAAACAAAGAACAATACGAAAAACACAAAAACAGCACAAGACAGAAAAACCACGATGGCAAAGAAAATAAACCCAGCGGGGAACAGAAGGGAATAAAGGAGCATCAGTCATCCTCTTCAAATATACTGTCTTCTTTTAAACAGGAGCTAAAGACGGGTCTATTCACCCAAGTTATACATCCAGTGTCTCTAGGACCAGGCTGCCTTTTGACCTGTTCTAAAATGAACTTGGTTTTTTTTTAATTCTTGCACTTTTTTTTTTTTTAGGATAGATCACTTTGTTTCTTTTACTAATTTATAGAAGGATGGTTTTCTTTCTATATGCTACGTTGGATGACTCCAGGGTGGAGAATAATATAAAAATGAAATGAATGACAATAGCAACATAAAACAATTCATGCCATTGTCTTTGATTGGATGCCAAAACCGGTTTTTAACACAGCTCTGGGGCACGTGCAGGGGTGATGCAAGTTGGTTCTGGATTTTCTCCTGTACCCTGAAGCCTGTGGCTCCCAAGAGAAAGATTTTGGAAAGAATGAAACCAGGAGATGTTAGTTTATTTATTAGGGTTCTTAGATTGGAACTCTACATTTCAAAGTCTCCCAAATGGTATTTCAGAGTCCTTCACAAAACAGCTTCCCTGGGATCCTGGGTCTCTGTGCGCAGAGATTTCTTGGTTTGTTAGGCCGACATGTGATCATCCAAATTGGCCTTTTGTTCTTCCACTAGGTTTGTAGCCCACAGTATGATTGGTTGGGTTCAGTTTCCACACTTCTATTAACATTGGGTAATAATTGTGTAAGCTTGTGCTGGTGGCAGGAAGCTCATAACAGCCCAAGGAAATCAACAGAGCCACGGAGGAATTCCTCTCTTACCTTTTCCCTTTAATCTTCAGGGAATATTGAGTGAGATATAAGGCCATGAGATGCTCCTGGGCAGAAGCAGTAACAAAACCCTTCCATTGACTCACTCATTCAGCCTTCCATTGTTCTGTGGTTGTCCTTAACAATTTAAATTTCAAACTACAACCTTTTGGGGAGGGAAGATTTTGTGCTAAGAAATAACTGGAAGAAGTTGTAAAACGTTGCACAACGTGTTCCTGGCTTTAAGTACGATCGCTTCTGAGTGAAGGGCAGGCTAAGATGTTGAAATAGTAACGGAGGCTTCCTGCAGAGAGTCTGTGTAAGAAATGAAATGTGCATTTCAAGAATTTCTGGATCTCATCTCACAAATTTAAAATGAAAATAACCTGCTTTAAACTAGGCGGTGGGGCCATGGGAATGTTTAAAAAATGGTATTTGGAACACAAGGAAAAGTGCATGAAGCTTCTCTTTTTGAGTCATTAAAGCAGCTGTGTTTTATTCCAAGCTCACCAGGTTGCCTAGAGGAAGACACGGCTGCTTTAACAATTTGAAGAGAGTTGCTTTGAAATGTGTTTCAAACAGGGCTGTGGAGTCGGCACATAAAACCTTTGACTCTGGCTCCTTTATTCATGATACCTCTGACTCTGACTCCGACTCCTTTAATTATATATCGATTTAGGAAATAAATTATAAATACAGTAATTATATATTTCGTATATCGACTGCAAGCATGCAACATACAAGGCATTAAAATTAAAATATATCCTGAAAAAAATAGGTTAATCAAATTATTCTCTATGAAATAGGAAGTTTTAACATATCCTATTATTTATATCATATACAATTTAAATTTATTAGGAGTCGGAGTCGGTACGTTTTTTCTGACTTCGACTCCGGTAACCCAAGAATTGCTTCCAATTCCAACTCTACGGCTTGGGCTCCACCTGGTTTCAAAGACCTCTTTGGATTTGTACAACCTTAGTCAACAGGAGACCATTCTTTGGGCATTACTCTTTATAATGGAAGATACCACATACTTTGCAGTCAATCTGAGTAGCTTGGCCTTCCTAAACTGGCATGTAGTTTTGACTCCCTAAACTGGAATATAGTTTTGACTGACTTTAAGAGCCCAGGGACACTTAGAAGATAAATTGGACTGTAAGGCAGGTCTCGTTTTGCAATGGCTGAGATTCCAGTCTGGGAACTCCATCCACGTCACACAATTATATTGGAATTGATAAGGGGTTTGATAACATTTTCCACCGTTTGAGCTCCCTGGTCTTGCTGCAAATGTTAATGCCTTGTGTTAAACTTTAATATAATTTGCTTGGGGCATAAATTATGGGGTGAATCCAGCCGTTGGAGCTTATGGCTTACCATGTGCAAACCTCGTCAATTTTGGCTTAATTTGCCAAACCGTGGAAGGCATGAACCCACTCTCTTTTCTCTGGAAGTTCTTAAGTGCAAGAGATCTCCAACATTCTGAAGAGCAGCAAGAATTATGGATTGTGCTTATGAAGACCCATACTACGTTTGCCCATCTCTCTGAAAAACAGTATTGACATGTAACTTTTTTTTTTTTTTGCCTCGATTTCTCTTAGGTATTCTCCATTTTTGCTTTCGCTACCTGTGGTGGATACAGTGGGAAAACATCTATAAATCTCACTTGTCGCACTGGCAAAAATTTAACACTTAATGGTGATTTCTCCTACCCTTTCAGGTGAGACCATGTCCCTGTTGGTTTCTGTATTTTTCTGTCCACGTGGTTATTCCTGGGTGTATCTGTTTGTGGTCAAGAAAAGTTACTGTAAAGGTAACAGCACTGAAATAGAGCCGATGTTTTACACAACCTACCTTGCATGGTTGCTATTGGGGAAAAATTGGAGGATGGTTATGAATGCCATCTTGAGTTCCATGCGGAAAGATGGGATCTGAATCAAATAAGTGATCAGGTTGTTGTTGTTGTTTTTTTTTGGAGAGGTTACAATAATCAAAACACACATGTGGTTACAATATCCTGTGGTAGCTGAATGCTTGGAAATAATTCTCATTCAGTTGCAGAGAGAACAGCCAAAAAATAAGAATGGGAATATAACTTTTATCCATTTTCAAAGACTTAGCAAGGCTTTTGCTCATGGATGGTTCTATGGAAGATATCTGGTATTGGAAAAATTGGTTCTAGTCTTTCTGTTCCAAAATGGCTGAATAGTATACAGGGAGTTCTCACTTACTGACCACTCATTCAGTGACCATTCAAAGTTACGATGGTGCTGTCAGCCTTCCCAGGTAGACCAGACAGAAGACACAACCAGATCAACTAATTCTACTTTATTGTAAAGCTACATTAACAGAATCTTGCAAGTTTGAAAGTACAGTTCTCCCGCCATCTCCTTTACAGCCTGAGAACTTTGGAAGGGTCCCTTCTGAGCCTCTTGCCCTGCCCACTATGCAGCTGCGGGCTATGCTGCTGCTTATCTGACCATTCCCTAGGCAGCATCTCTTCCCCCTGTCTCCCAAGGTCTTCCCCACGTACCATTACAGATGCTGAATGAGTGGTACTTATGAACGGTCCTCAAAGTTCTGGCTGTCGCATCACCGCCGCAATCCCTTGATCATGATTTGGGCGCTTGGCAACCAGCTCACACTTACAATGGTTACAGCAGCCTGTGGTCACGCGATCACCATTAGCGCCCTTTCCTGCCATCTTCCCACAAGCCATGTCAATGGGGAGGCCAGCATGGAAGGTCACAAGTCACTCTGGTAAGTCTGCTTGGCCTCCCTGTGCTTGTGTGATGCCGCAGCGCCATCCATTCCCCTGGCCTCCCCCAACTTGCACATGGCCTGGGCAGGGCCTCTCCCCCACAGCATACCCACACTCATTACCTAGGACTCCTGCCGCTTCCTGCTTAACGACCCACGCATCTTGGGGTTATGATGGCAACTGGGACTGCCGGGATTGTCATTGCTATGCAATGCAGTCACATGATGTGATGCTTTACAACTGCATCGCTAAGGACGGCAATCCTGGTCGCAATTGCCGTTGTAACCCGAGGACTACCTGTATCCTGCTCAGGTATTCTCAGATTTAAATATAAAATCTACTGTATAGAAATACACCTGATCTGAAAACTCTTAAAGGAAATTGGATCAGCAAAAGCTGTTGGAGACACAGAAACGTCTTTAAAAGCATGTTGTCTTTTATTTTAAATAAAGACCAGTGGTGGCCATATTTGCTGGGAATCATGGGTCCTAGGCAACTCAAGGATATAAAGTTCGGTGAGGCTAATCCACAAAAGTAGACTCATTCTTGTCTGTTGATTTGTTTGCCAAATGTATACGGCTGCCCATCTAACCAATGAAACTCGGCAGCAAACCAAAACCATCATACACAAAATCAATTAAAAAAAACCCAAATTGAGGCCCTGGTGGTTAATTCTGTGGTTTCCCTCTTGGTGGGAATGTATTCGGGTTGAAAACATGGGCGTTCGCAGCAAACCACAATTAGGTTGAAGTGATGACATGCCCAGGATGACATCACTTTGCCAATCCTGCCCTTGTATCCTCATTTCCGGACATCTGATGTGAGTGTGTAAATTGCAGTATTTACATCATGACCTTCATCGCCCCCATGCGCGCCCGCCTGCACACTGTACAGACGGACATGGGTGAAAGCAAGTCAGCGTCACCTTTTGCTTTTTGTCATCAGGTTGAACGGTGTTGCACTCGGACCTCTGGATCCTGGATTGAACTGCAACAATACTTGGCCGTCGGCAGTCTACTTGGTGGGAGATTTCTCCTCCTCTGCACAGTTCTTTGTCGCTTTTGCGGTTCTTGTGTTCCTGTACACCATCGCAGCCTTAATACTTTACCTGGGTTACATGCACTTGTATCGAGGTACTGGAAAACTCCCCATGATTGTAAGTTAACATCACTTTCCTGTAATCTTTAGCACCGGGGGAAGGTATGCATGTTTCGTGCATGGAAAACAGCTATGAATGCCATTTATCTGTAACATTTATTTATTGAGTGTATATCCTGCACCTTAGCTGAAAAGGCTCCACTGCAGCTTACTAATCAGTAAATAGAGTTTACCTCCGCCTTCAGATTCACAATCAAACACAGAATGAGAGCTTGGGCAAAAAGAAAAGAATCTCAAAAAAATACTTGGAAGTAAAAAAAAAGAGGCAGGCCAAATGTAGCAAAATAAGAATACAGTGGTACCTCTGGTTACAAACGCCCCTCCTTGCAAATTTTTCAAGATACGACCAGCTCCGGCCCCCAAAATTTACCTCTACTTGCAAACTCCGCCTCTACTTACGAACCGGATCCGCAGCCATTTTCCCTGCTGCCACGCGGTCGCGGCTTCCTGTGGATGAGATCACGGTAGCAAGGAGACGTTTGGTGAGGCTTGTGGTGTGTTTTGTGGCGTTTGGAAGGTTTTTGTGGCATTTGGAAGGTTT